TGTACCATCCCAGCCAGTCAAGTTGAAAGCAAAAGATTAAGAACTACTTACTGATATGCTGTGATCTGATTTTTTTTTCCTTTCAGATAGCTTTCATTACATAGTTATCTTTTTTAGTACTTAAAATTAATTTTCTGTTCTTGTTAGGATATACTCAGTTTTCCCACCTAGAACTTTTAAAAAGTATTATCTCTGGCATTCTAAAGCTTTTATTTTTATATTATTTCAAAATGCTTTTCCATCTGTTAGAACTTTCTTTCAAATTTTGAGCACATCACAAGAAGAAAATTTATATTCCATAAACCTTCTTTGTTCTCCAGAGTTTTGTGCTAACCAATCTGTTCCTTCCATTTTGAAAGGTTATGTATAGATCAAATCTCTGTGGGAATGGTGAATAGATTGCAGCCAGTAAATAAAAAACAGGGTTTAGGGATTAGAAAGACTTGGATTTCAATCCTGGCTTTACCTCGTTGTGTGGATGAGGCTTTAAGCAACCAATGCAACCTTTCGTGCCTCAGTTTCTTAACCTATACAGTAGGCATAATGATACTTATCCATGGCTGGACGTGGTGGCTCATGCCGTAATCCCAGCGCTTTGGGAGGCCAAGGCAGGTGGATCACCTGAGGTCAGTAGTTCAAGATCAGCCTGACCAACATGATGAAACCCTGTCTCTACTAAAAATACAAAAATTAGCTGGGTGTGATGGCGCGTGCCTATAATCTCAGCTACTCGGGAGTCTGGGGCAAGAGAATCACTTGAACCCGAGAAGGGGAGGTTGCGGTGAGCTGAGATCGAGCCACTGCACTCCAGCCTGGGCAGCAGAGTGAGACTTCATCTCAAAATAATAATAATAATAATAATAATAATAATAATACTTATCCATGGAGTTCTTGTGAGGATTAAATGACAACATGTATATAAAGAGCACCTTGGTGCACTCAAAAAATGGGAGTCTGTTTGATGGTGTTATGTCCTGGATGTTATAATGGTAAAACTGTTTGCTCCATGTGACACCAGGATAGTGAACATATGGGTCTGTCTCAGAAAGGCTAGATTCATAGCCTGAGTGCAAGATAATTCTGTCTTCAGTTAACTATACATTTCTTGACTCCAAAAAGGATTTCTAAAGATGATAGCTTCATTTCATAAATATTTGTGGGGTGTATGTTCTGTGCAGGTACCTTGAGTAGGTTTTCTAGGGGATAAAGCCTGCCCCCAACCCTCACAGAAGTTACATTCCAGCTCAGACTCAACTCAACTACAGTGTAATGTAGAAAGTGTATGTCCTGAAGAATTTTCAGATACACTGCTATGGAAGGTCACGTTCAAAACCAAGCCCGTTTCCCCCCTTATCTGCAGCCAAATTTGTTTCACCCCAGCATTGCCCATCTCCACAAATGGATACCATCACGTGTTCGGTTGTCCTAGTCAGGAATCTGGGAAAGAAGCTCTCTTGGCCACTTGCCCTGCCTCCTTTCCACTGGCAGGTGGTCACCTCCTTAACCCTCCCAGAACCTCCCCATCTGTCTTACTTACATTGACTTAGTTCAGTGGTTCTCACACTCTTGGGCCATACCATCCCTTGGAAGGCTTGGCAAAACACAGACTGCTGGCACCTCTTCCCCCAGAGTTCCTTCTAATTCAGAAGGCCTGGGGCGGAGCCTGAGTATTTGCATTTCTAACAAGTCCCAGGTGATGCTGATGCTGCAGGTCTGGGGACCTCACTGAAAACCACGACCTCAGTTCATGCCGTTGTCATTTGCTGTTGGGATTATTGCCCAGTGTTCCTGGCTGAGCTTCTGTATCTAATCCTCACCCTCCTTCACATTCTCCACCCTGCCCTCAGATCTGGAAAAGAGAATCGTTTCTGGCTGTTGATCACCCACAGAATAAATGTCAGAATTCCTGCTGTGATCTGCAGTGCCCTCCATTAGCTGACTCTTACCTGATTCTCTAGTCTCACCTGCTACTTTGCTGATCCCATCTCGGATCACTGAACACCTCCGGCACACTGAACTCCTGCAGTTTCTTGGTGCCGTGTCATTTTATGTTTTGCCTTTTGTATCTGCTCTTCATTATTTGCAATGCCGTGAATCCCTTTCTTTCCTGGCTAACTCCTCTAGACCCTTCCAGACTACTCAGGAAAAACTCCTTGGAGAAGCATTACCTCCCCATCTGAAAGTAGAGAGAGGTGCCTCACTTATCTACCATCTACCTCATGGTGGTTATCACATGTTTATACCTGCCTCTTAGTCCACCTCACCCACAAGACTCTGACAGCTTCCTAACAGCAAGAACCAAATCCATCATCTCTATAGCCATAACCCTGAGCAGTACATTGCCTGACACAGAGGGGAGATCAAAGGATGTTGAATGAAAAGGGCTATCCAGGAAGACTACTTGGGGGAGGTAGATATTTTAACCATAAGTAAATAGTGGTTAGCATTTAGACACACAAGCAGTAGCAGAAGAACATTCTAGAAGAGGGAACTTAAACCTGAGCTTGGACTTAGTCAGGCTTTGGTGTGAGGAAGGAACAATGAGGGCTCTCATTTGGCTGGCCACAGCATGTGTGGTCCTGAGAGCCAGTTGAGGGAAATAGCACAGGTGGAATTCACATGGCTCAACACGCCATTGAATATGGGAGAGTCCGGGAAAGAGCTGGATCAAAGGTGGGAACATGCCAATCACCGGTAACCCGAATTGGACTGTCCAGGGGTGGATGAGGCTGGATAAAGAGCAAAGATGGGTGAGGATTAGGTGTGTTTGTGTCCGTGGTGGAGTTTGAGGGCACTGTTAGGACATGTTCTACTATCTTCTTCATGTGTCTTCCCACCCATCTTATTCTGTTCTTACCTCCAGTGCCTAATAAGTGCTTGATGAATGCTGAGTGAATTTATGCCATGGAATCGGAATAAAGGCCAGGAGTGGTCCCACATGAGCCAGGGAGAGGAGAGGTGGTGTCAGTGGTGGTTTTAGGTGGTGCCATTGTCACCCCCGATGCCTCTCCTGCAAATAAGATTTAGGTGAGGGAAGAGGCAGGCTGCTGGCCACGGGGGTAGGACCAGGCGAGAGACCTCAAGCAATAGCAGCAACGAGTTCAGAAGATGACTGCTTGTTGCCAGAAACAAGGAAAGTCTTAGAATTTGTGAAGATCAAACCGGCTGAGAGCTGAAACGTACCCTCTGCCTTCACTGTGCTAATACAATAAACATGAGCATTAGTACCTTGATTCTATGTTTAAAGATACGTCCAGGAAGAGTTATACATTGTCACTGCTAATCCATTTTTCCCTTCTGAAATAGACGGCTTTATGACTATTATGACACTGTTCTCCAAATCTAACTACTACTATTCTTCCATTAAATTTAACACATGGCCATGTGTTTACAGAATATAATATAATGTGGAATACGTGAAAGAAATGTTTTTGCTTCTGACCCGTTCTTCCAGTTTTCATGTACAGTGCTAGGGGGCTTTCTTGTAGGACTTTTCTCTGTGCAGAGAAATATCTGAATAAAATAATCTAGAGATAAAAGCACTAATGGTCTTTACATTACACATACACACAGTCAAGAGTTATTTTTCCAAGCAGGCACCCTCAGAGATAAATTACCTATGGTTATGTCTCCAAACCAGTAATTCTATTAGTAAATCCATCAAAAATCAGAATTAACAACGTGACCACGCAGGAAGTTTTACTACCAAAAACAAGCACTTGCAGGTGGTGTGTCGAGGATAAACAGTAGATAAAGAGGCAGGATGCAATTTCCTTTTATACTGAGGCTTGAGGACAGACAGACCATCATTATTCACTCATACCTGCCACTGACTAACAGAAGCACAGGGTTGATGAACTGCGAGTCGTTTACCTTTAAAATTCAATTTCATTCCTTCAGTCGTTGTGAGCTTGAATATCTAATTACAAGGTTTACGCACTGAGATCCCAGTGTAATCATCTATAAAGCGTGTACTAGTTGGAGTTAATTCATTGAACAAATATTTATCGAGCACTTATATATGTGTCAGCCCTGTGTTAGACATGAAGGAACAAGGGGGACTCCGGTGTTCTGTCATGTTTGAGACAGACCTGGAGTTCCAGACTCTTATTTTATTGTTCTTGTTGCTGCTGCGGTTAACATGTGAATGACTGGTTTTGTTTCCAGTTTTTCAACTTGAACTGTTTCATAAAACATGAAATGTTGCACTTCTGACATTCATCCAAAGTAGCAAGCTGCAATGTGCTTTTCAAAAATTCCACAGTGTGTTCATTTTGATGGGGCCAATTTGAAAAACCGGGGAAAGAGAAGTTCAGAAAGTTAGGGAGTTATAAGAATGCTTGGAATTTCTAACAGATTTTGCTAAACATTTTCTGTATCATGACATGTTCCAGAAGGCCATAAAAGTTAGTTTACATGAATATAAACTACTTTTTGCCTTGCTGATAACTGCAAATAAATAATTCAGATGACCACCCACCAAAAAACCAAGACGTTTGGGGGTTTATGTGTTTCCTATAAAATGTTTTCCTTATAAATTTCATAGTCAAAGAGAACAAGAATGAAGTAGTACCTCATTTTATTCCATTTTTAAATTCTGCAGCACCTGTTTCAATATTTTTGTATATCCCAATAATATCACTACAGAATAAGATAATGACTAACCTCTTTCCTTGATTTGACTTTAAAGGAAGGGGTAGAAGGCATTCTTTTATTTACATTTTAGTACAGCAACACACTGATTTCTCCAGCCAAAATTAATTAATCTGTCACATTGCTTTCATGGTAACAATCAACTAAATGAGACACAGGACTATCAATTTGTATAGCACTGTTTTATTCACTAAGGAGCCTTATGTAAAACTTGATAAATGTTGCACTTATACTGCTGGTCCAGTGGTAATCAGTGGGAATAAAAAGAGCCAGATAGATAACCTTCAACTTAATATGGCTTGGTAAATTGGATCCTACATATGCTAATTTTGTACTTTTTTTAATAGATGGAACTGATTAAAAATATAAGTACTGCCGAACAACCCTATTTATTCACTCGACATGTTCATTTCCTCAACTTCTCAAGGTAAGACATTTTCCAGTTTAATGGTTCTTTCATTTTCTTCTAATGAACAATTACTTTAGAAATCTACCTTTATTTACAAGGTAGTACAATTGCCCTTGAAAAGACATTTTTAATCCATTTATTTTTGCTATGGAGGGATTGAAATTTGAAATATTTGAACAGAAACTTCATCTCTTCCTAGACTACTATCTTAAATCTTATAAAAACTTGGAATTATTTTTTAAAGAGAAGCCATTTGACCTAATAGCTCTTTTCAAAAAAGGAATCAGATTTTGTATTGAAACAAATAAGAAGACAGGAGATGGGTATTTTAGCATAAATATTTTATTACACATTTTTGTACAATTTGAACCTGCACAGAACTCTGGGAATAATTCAGTGCTAGAGTAATGAGTATTTTCTAGGATCCAAAGTACCAGCCTCTGTCTGTCTTTTTAATACAGTCATGTGCTACATCATGACGTTTTGGTCAATGATAGACCTCATATACATATTAATCCATAAGATTATAATATGGTATTTTTACCATATCGTTTCTATGTTTAGATACACAAATGTTTACTATTGTGTCACAGTTGCCTCCAGTGTTCAGTATAGTCACATGCTGTCCAGGTTTGTAGCCCAGAAGCAATAGGCTGTACTCTACAACATAGATGTGCAGCAGGCTGTGCCATCGAGGTTTGTGTATGTACTCTAAGATGCCTGAACAACCACGAATCGCCTAATGATGCATTTCTCAGAATGTACCCCTGACATTAAGCAACGCATGACTGTAAACCATTTGATTTTCTAAGCCTCGCATGTTTGATGCTGGGGAGGTTTTTAAAATTCTGGGTTTTGTTTCCAGCGGCTGTGGTCTTCTAATAACAATGCAGATCTTCAAATTCAGGTTTTTAGATTCCCTATTTGTTAAATTACTAGCTTCAAGTTCTGAGTGTCCTTTTCCCCAGTGGTTCATTAGCATCGGTTGACTGTCACTGTGCCTCACTCCTGAGCTGATGGCCCTTAGTGTTTCACTCTCCCTGTGCTGGCCCAAATCTGCACTCACAGCTACTATCTAATGGCTGACAGATCACTGGATCCAGAGGCAGATCTGCTGGGGACCAGCCTGGGAACCTCTGGGCCTCCCTGGTCAGCCATCTGACGGGCACTTCTGTCATCTTAACAGTGCCTTGCAGGTCCACACAAGAGCACCAAAGGACCCGGGGCAGCAGGCGACGTCTGCTGGTTAGTGCTGACGTAGTGGCTCCTGCAGGCCAGGCACCCAGGGAGCTGGCTCCGGAGGAGCTGTTGCCCTGGTCCAGGGTGCCTGACAACCCACCTGGCTGGAAGAAGATTTCAGCCCTCCAAGGACTTCCCTGCTGTGCAGCAGGTCCTGTGCAAATTAAGTGCAAAGAATGAGATTCAGTAAAGCAAGCTATTAAGCAGAGAAAAGGAGTTGCTGCCTTATCTTTAAAAGCAAGTGTTCCCTGAAGTTTCCTGGGCCTTCCTGATAACCAGAGTTCTTTGGATGGTAACAGGACTCCTGCAGATTTTCCGCAGTGACCCAGGGCCAGGTGCTGGGCAGCTAGGAGTGTGTTTTCAACCACAGTTATAAAATGGCTTGTTACTGGATTATCCAGGGTATGTGCCCTGACTCTTAAGTCCAGAAGGCCACAAGCATATTATTAGACATGATTAGATAACAAGGCTTATTAGCTCTTTCAGGCATTGTGTTTTATGCCTTGCAAAGAGAAAAGCACTGCTTCCCTGATCCTTACTGTTCTACCGTGTTTCCTTCTAAGTCACCCCTGACATCCTTAAACCTCATTCATGAACACTTCTTGCTTCATAGGTCAAATCTTTACAACCAAACAGATTGCAGTGCAACAAGTTTTAAGTATGTATCTCTGAACAGTGTAAAACACAAATTGGAAGCCATGGCCAGTATTTTAATTGGGTCAGCAGAGCATAACATGGTGGCCATATTCTGTTATGGCCTCTACCATCAAACACATGTACAGGAGTTTAGTCTTCATTGCTTTAATTCTGAAAGGAAAAAAAAAAACGATAAGTGCCTTTTAGAAGACACCACGTCTACAGAAAACGGTGCCGGCCTGGCCGTCAGGACCTCTGGTGTCAGAACTGGTCTCCCCACTAGTCATGATTCTTGGCAAGCCATTCAACCTCTTAGAGGTCTCTGTTTTTCTGTTTTTCCATCTGTAAAACAAGGATAGTTCTCAGTCATGCCTACCATATAGGGATGCTCTGAACTGTGAAGGAAAGGCCTTCTGAGAGAAGGCCACTGTATTGGTCCATTTTCATGCTGCTGATATCCAAGACTGGGAAGAAAAATAGGTTTAATTGGACTTACAGTTCCACGTGGCTGGGGAGGCCTCAGAATCATGGCAGGAATCGAAAGGCACTTCTTACATGGTGGCGGCAAGAGAAAATGAGGAAGATGCAAAAGCAGAAATCCCTGATAAAACCATCATATCTTGTGAGACTTATTCGCTACCATGAGAACAGTATGGGGGAAACCACCCCCATGATTCAAATTATCTCCCATCAGGTACCTCCCACAACATGTGGGAATTACAAATGTACAATTCAAGATGAGATTTGGGTGGGGACACAGAGCCAAAACATATCACATGCTATATACATTCAGAGTGGCACTTAAAAAGGCAATTCTGTAGACGTCTCAGGCTGAGCCCACTGCCCAACTCCTGACTCAGTTTCTATGGAGACACCTTGAGGGCTGGGCTGGGCTCTGCTTCTCCTCCCTCAGTTCCATTTTACTCAATTAAACACATATCTATGGATTACCTTCTCTCTTCTATACACAACATGAGAACTGGGGCTTCTGCAGTCAACATTAAATGTTTTTCTTGCCTTTGGGAGACTCTAAGTTCTTCTTCCATTAAAGTGTGATGGATGTAAGGAGAGGGTGGTCACAGGGCTTCCCCTAGGGGAGGAACCTCCTGTGGGACCAGGACTCTGGGAGGGCATTTCTGCAGGGAGGTGAGGGATGGGTCAGCTTTAGACAAGTGAAGGGGGTGGGCATTCCCAGCACAGCCACCAGCAGAAGAGTGGGGCCGAGGGGAACTGAAAGGGATGCAGTGCAGACCAGGATGGACACGACTGGGCTGGAACAGCAGTCAAGAGTTTTAAGCAGAAATAACAAGAGACTACCTGACCAGCTTTGCTGCTTTCGATAAAAAGCCAAAACTGACTCCCCAAGAGCAACCTCCTCCTCTCTTTACACCCACATACCAGGGCCTGGGCCCTTAGCTGCCAGACTTCCATAAAAAGGAAGAGAATGATCAGTTGAACTTCAGTATATGACAAGACTATGATTGTTCCACACATGGAACATGGGACATTAAAAATCAGCTTTTCCTTGTTTAAGGGAATAGCTTTCTTTAAGGAAAATTTCTGTGTCAATATGCAATTGACAAGAGGAAAACAACTAAGTTGGAACTTGTTAAGAGGACTTTGACATTACTTTTTTTTTTTTTTTTTTTTTTTAGATGGAGTCTTACTCTGTCACCCAGGCTGGAGTGCAGTGGTGCAATCTCAGCTCACTGTAACCTCAGTTCAAGCGATTCTCCTGCCTCAGCCTCTCAAGTAGCTGGAATTACAGGCATGCACCACCATACCTGGCTAATTTTTCTATTTTTAGTGGAGACGGGGTTTCACCACATTGGCCAGGCTGGCCTCAAACTCATGGCCTCAAGTGATTTGCCCACCTCAGCCTCCCAAGTGCTGGGATTACAGGCGTGAGCCACCGTGCGCAGCCACGGACATTAACATACTTTAAAAAATAAGTGTTAGATGTATTTTGAATAATAAGTTATAAAGATAATGAAGCTGATCTTAAGAAACCTACCCTTATAACTGCTGACAGACGTATTGCTTGTTTCAGGATAATGAGGTTCCCACGAGAAGAACTGATACTGCAACCTAATATTCTTTGTTGATATTTCCAATCCTCTCCACATCGTTAACATGCCGCACAATACTTGCTGGCAAGCGGACTGTAAGAATGAAAGTCAGGCCTCCCTCCCCACTTTTTTTTGCACACAAATGGTCAGAAGTTTTGAAGAGTATGGCATTATACCATAGGTAATTGCCCTTTCTTTTTTTATTCCATTAACGATGGCATTTTTACCTTCAAATTTAGACACTCTTGAGTCATGTAAAATACTACCCTGTGAGCATTTGGTGTTTCCATAGCTGACGTACTTCGTTTTTTTCACCATCTAGGCTTCTTGTCCTGTTTCTTGTTTTTCCGTTTTTAGAGTGAGAAGGAACCATATCTAGCTTTATTAATCCAAAGATGGGAAGTAATTGGTTCAGACCAATCAGGTGTTTTGCCTCAGGGAAGGATTCCTGCCTGGGACGTGTGCACAGCGAGCTCAGCAGAGATCTCAGGCTTCGGTGAGGATTCCTGAGTTGCACACTGGACTGCTTTTTCACACAGTCATGGAACTCCCTGGAAATTCCAGCCAGACAAATATTTTTCACCTGGACTGTCTGGAGAATTGAGTCAAAACTACGTTGGCCTAAAATGTGCTTCTCTTTGCTAGGATATTTAAGTAGGATTTTTAATATTTGCATACTGTGGTTTCACATATCTTTTTCCAGTTTTCAGAGTAACTTTAGGAAACAATTTCTGAAAAAGATATCAACTTTCCAACATCAACGGCATCTCTCCAAATCTATCTTGGATCCACACACTAGAAAGCCTTGTGAGAGACTACAATTCACATTTGTCTGTCCCCTGCCCTCAATTTTATTTGTTTTCTAAGCTTTTATTTTTTGAGGGGTATAAATATTTTTGCAATCTACAATGCCCCTCACCCTTCCAAATGTGCTTTTACAGGGAAGCCTTAAGAAGTTTTACCTCAGAGCCCAATGCTATCAAAATAGTCCAAATGCATTATAAGAGACATCAATATGCTAAATAATTTCAAACCACCACTTCCCTTATCCTTCTTCCATGTCATTCTTCCTTT